TCTAAAAAGTGGAAAATATCATCAGTATATTTTCGTAATTTATCACTGCATTCATATTTTTTAGATTTGCTTTTACAGTGATCAAAAAAATATATGGATCAGTCAATTTATTTTAGTGAATAACTCAAGAGTTGCAAAAATGAATACTTTGAGATCTTGCAGACGTTTTAAAGTTATTGTAAGCATGGTAAATTGTTAACAATAAATCTTTAATGCCCCCAAAAAATTGATGGAATGGTTCACTCGATTTTCGCAGATAATTTTGGGAATACAATACAGTTATTTTTAGTATTACACTGCACCAATCCAAGGTGGTATACGTGTTGATCATAAATGTTGATTAGGTCATCACAAAATTGTGTGAAGAAAAGACTCAACTCGAAAATGCTGAATATGTTTCATTATACTTTTGGTGCGAAGGAAGTTCTGTCGAAACAACGTTCGATCAATTTTTTGACAATGGTTGATATAAATAAAACTCAGTAGATGCTCATACTCGAAATACGAAGTATCTACTCGAATATCAAATCAAAATATTTCTAGATTTTCTAGATGATATTAATACTTCAGTAGGTAACAGTTGATGCTCAAGTAGCATTTTGATACAACAAAAAAGGACAACAGTGACAGTGTTCAACCATCAAAGCAAAAGTCGAGTCACCAAAATATAAGTTAGTATGGGGTAGACACCTTGAGATGGGAGTCTCTATGGCCAGTGTTATAAAAAACGCACTGCACAATTTATGCATAAATAAAAGTTAATTACCTGAAAAGTTTTCGATATTCCTGCTCCTAATGTGTTTTTCAAACTGAATGCACCTTTTGACGACGTTCATGAAAGTCGCCATGTTTAGTTAAAATTCACTCTTACCACGATCCTACTCGTTTTCTAAGCTGCTTTACAGACAGCTCAGTTATTTGCCACGCCAATCCTCATTTTTAGATTAAATGCTCACAAAACGCGTAGATGTTCAATTTGTGTCCGAGGAGATACAATGTTTCCAAGTAGGTACTCAGTACATAGAGTAGATGCTCAGGTATATAAGAGTAATAATGAAGTAGGTATTTCGTACTTCGAATATGAGTATCTACTCAGTTTTATTCATACCACCCAATGTCTCGCTTCAATGTTTGATTATGTTGATTATGAGCACAACGCTGATCAACTTCCATATCCGAATTACCCATGAAATAAATCATTGCGGTTTGCACCTGAGGTAGTTCGTCACACATTTGATTGACTTCGTGGACCTATGTGAGCTTGTCGTCTTCTCGGCATTTTAATGAATTTCATAAAACGACACAGAATTATTTTCACAGTCAATCAAATCTGTAAATTTTGTCTTGAGAATTTTAAAATATTGAAAACTTCAAATTAAATCCTCGAATAACGGTAAAGTTTGAGGTTTTGTCGAAACCAACAAAGTGAATATAGGTAAATAGAATGGCAGATCAAAATTAATAAGAAACTTTCGCAATGTGTAATTAAATTCACTTTAATCAAGACTTTTCTTAAAATAAACGACGTTTTTTTTACGAAAAAACAAAGAACGATTTGAAATGCAATATACTTTTCACAATTGCACGGAAGAATTAGTTTTGTATGGCACGTCAGTTAGACGACAGGTCCGTCAGAAACGCCAACTATTGAATTTAATTCGAAGGGGCGATTCCCATACAAAATTTTTAGAATTTTTTTATTTTTTAACTGTTCTTTTAAGTTTTCCTTATTTTTTTAATTTATAAACCATCCCGGTAATATAAAAAATTCTTCAAATCAGTCAAGCCGTTTTTGAGTCTTAGCGAGACTAACAGGAACAGCAATTGATTTTTATTATATAGACAATAGGGTTGGTGGTAAAAAGGTGAAAATTTAGGGTTATGTGTATTTTTTGATGCCAATTCTTAAAAAAATAAAAATAAAAAATTTTGTCCAAAAAATAGACAAAATTTTTTTAGGGTGGGCCACCCTTATCACTTAGGGGTTAAAAAAATACTTTACAACCTATTCTGAGACCTACCGAATATACACAAGAAATTTCATACAAATCGGTCAACCCATTTCGGAGAAGTTCGGTTACAAACAGTGTGACACGAGAATTTTATACATAATGCATTATTATTTTAGAACAAATTTCATTACCGTAAAAAAGGTGATACTGACTCGACCTTAAAAGATAGACATATGCTGTCGCGGACTTTTCTTTAGAACTTTTAGAGGGGAACAATTTCGTCATACATGATTTTTACGTAACTTTAACCGTTTAAGCAGCGTAAGCAACGGAAGCTGTCAAAGGAGGAATAATTTTCCCGTTTTTCCGAATTTTTCATTGCTACTTCGCTCCTAATGATCGTAGCGTGATGTTGTATAGCCTATATGTAGATATGATACATGGACTATCCAACACAAAAAGATTTTTTGAATTTGAACCAGTAGTTTCTGAGATTAACGTGTTCAAATAAACAAAAGCTTCAGCTTTATTATATAAGTATAGATTACTTAAGCTTGCAAAAAATGTCACGTTAGGTATTAGTTTACAATCTAAAATTATACATAAAGGGAATACACTGTAAAAAATGTGATTTTACGATTTTACAGAACCTGTCTACTCTGGAATTATATTGCAAACACTGTTGTTTTTTTTGTAGTGTGTTGCAAGCTACAGAATCTTATTGTTGTAAATGAACGGTAGAATAATTTATGAAATAGATATATATCCCTGTCTTTTATTTTCTTACATATATTTTGGTAATTTTTTGACAGGATGCGTTTTATGTCGCTATTATTCTTCCTTGCCTACCTTGTATGGGTCATTATTGTCATTAGTGCCGCACTAAGAATGCAAAAGTTACTGCTGACATGCTTACTTTTTCTTATACATTAGTTAGGTTCCTCTCGGTAATTCCTGCATATGGGGAATTGGCCACACCTTGAAAAATGATACATGTCTAGTGACCTTAGTTGTTTTGTACAGATAAACAATTGTTTTTTACAAGAATGTCCAAGCGAATTTACATCAAGAAACATGGATTACACAGAGGTAAAATATGAATAACTTTGAAGTGAATTTACTTATATTTTCAAATCACCATACATTTTTTTTTTGAGGAAATGAATAAACAAATTTTCATGATATTTTTCGACCTTCACAATAATTTTAAAACACCTATAATTTCAAAGTAACGGGACTTCAAAAATTTTGGGGATTACGTGTATCTATGATAAAATTATAGGGAAAGAAAAACCTGCATTTTAGTGTTTTACGAGATGTGAAACGTCAAGGAAACACGAAATTAGAGATTAGAGGTATATATTTACATTCTCTAGTTAGAGCTCGGGAGTAAATACGGGTTATATCAATTCGTCTTTGTTGTGAGTATGACAGCCGCAGCTTTCTGTTCTTATGACGTAAGTACTATATTTGTTAATGAAATAATTATTTCAACGTGGGTTAAATAAAATGCAATAAAATTTATAATTTCATAATGACATAGCAATAATTTAAAATGTATTGTGTGGTTTTCTACTCTTTAACATTATTATTAATTTAAATCAACAAACGAATAAATGGTAAAGAACTATCTGAAAACTTCAAAAAACGGATGTAGTAGTTAAAAGTCGACGTTGGTCGTTTTTAAGATTTTAAACCTAATACACGTAATATATCGGCTTCATTTAACAATCCTAAAGTCTTAAATTAGTGCATATTTTTAAAGTTTGAATTATTTTGTTCTTGATGAAAACTAAGACATTTTGTACGGTTTTCAAGATATTAAATAAAACTGTAATAACGTTATATTCTCCAATTTATTGTTCTAAAATAACAGGCTTTTTTGTTTTAATTGATTTTAAATTTTAAAATCTTCAAGAAACGTGAAATACCAAGGTACAAACGTGAAAATAAAAAAATTGACTTCCGTAAAATCTCTGAATCTATTATAGGTAAAACCCACAGTTGTAAAAATTGCAGCTGCACCTGCCACGGGGGTGTCAAGATGTTAATACAGTTTAAGGTCCTGATTTATTACAAAATCTTCTGCCGAAGGCAAGACGCAAGAAGGGCTATTTTCCGCTGCTACTAATTTTACTATAATGATGCCACATAACGTAAATATAATAATTTGTGGGAGTGTCTAAAATTGCTAAAAATTGCATAATTTCTGTATTATTATACTACGAAAACCATATAGTATTTTTTCTGATGCCTTTTATTTTATGCGGTTCTCAAAATTACCATATCTAGTAGTTCAGGAAGAAGATAGTGTTATGACCATCGTGTCAAACCGCCTTTATTGGGATAAATTTTAATTATACTGTTTTGCTTTAATTTGTTTAATTTCGCTAAATTACGGGCTTATTTTGTCATAGTTAAACTAAAAAAATATTCTGTGCAACTTCAAATGAGATTGGGTTTCAAGTTTGAAGTAGAAAATAACACCAGGACTAATAAAAATTACTCCCGAGAAACAAAAACTACGTTGTCGCTTAATTTTAAGCATCCCATACTATTTCCATACGGAATGTTGGTACGAACCGCCTCACAAGAAACTGTTTGGGTCCGGCCCTGTATAGGTCAAGTGATCGCGGTGAATATACCGGAATGCGCGGCTTGATCTCTGTGATCAGGTACATGTCGTGGGCGTCCAACTTGGCTTGCCGGAGGACAAAATATGGCTTCTTGAGTAGTCAACATGGCCGACTACCCATTGTTTCGAACGGCCCGCAGAGGAATTCCATGATCAACATGTCTGTACAACAGTGTAGGATGAAGGAGCACGTAAAAAAAATAAGAATTAAAATACCATCATACACTCTTTTAATGTGGCCAGCGGAAGAAAAATTGTGACCTTTTTTTGGGCACTAGGTGCTGCAGGCAGCAGCGAGATTTAAATGTTATTTATTCGGTGGGTTACCTTAAAGTTCGCTCACCCAAGTGTTTAGGTACTAATTTAGTACGATGCCATGATACCGAAAATGACTATTTTGTCAGTGTCAAAAATTTAGTTGATTGACTCGAGAAATTTATTAAGTAAAATGGTCACGTAAATTGTTAGTAAAAGCGAAAATGTCGTTCGAATATTATTCTAAATGGTGGGCTGGCACCCGGGAAGTTCTCGAGGATTTAGTAGCTCGAGATGCTGCTTTTGTGGCTGCTACCGACCAGAAATTAAAAAATAGAAATATAGCAAGCCACCAAGTAGGTGGATTATACGCGAAGTATTGCATGTTGGTGCAAGACTTAGGCACAATATTGGATCAATTGGCACAGGTTAATCCTAATTCTGTTTTTTTTTTTTCTAGTCTAGAGCATGATCAATTTCAGCCTCAAAAACGTATTGTTGTTAGAAAAATCATGGATGCCGCTACTATACGCCTACACGAACTTAACGAAGAATTACGAAACATTGATATATCAGAGTACCACTACATAGACGGAGCGTTGGTCGAATTAAAATTAGTACCCCAAGATGTAGAAATTTTAGATCCGATTCTCTATTATCTTCGACACTACACGGTAGAAGAACTGTGGACTAAAATTAAGGTAGGTACTGATATTTTATACACTTTTCCAACTACTTTTTGCAGAACGGTGAAAGAATTTACGAACCACCACCTCCACCATCGCCACCTGCAGAAGAAGAACAAGAAGTAAAAGAAGGTGAAGAAAAAGTAAAAGAAGGTGAAGAAAAACCAAATAAAGAAGAAGCTGCTGCTGAACCAACTCCAGAACAACCAAAAGAAGTTAAAGTGGAAGCCAAGTACGTATTGCACGCTTAACGCACATAACCTCCTATTTTCTTCCAGAAAAAGACCAAAGAAATACGTTCCCGAAGTTAAAGTCTTAACAGTGGAAGAGATGGAAGCACTAAAGAAGAAAGAGAAAATATCCTCAATTGTGAATTTAATTCAAGTTGCTGAACGTGGCAGACAAGCTAGGTTGTACTTTAACGAAAAATATAACGAAAACGAACATAAAAAGAAACTCCGTCTTGGTTTAAAACCTCAGGAAGTCGATGCGGAAAATCAGGAAAAATCGGCCCTTCAAGTTCAAAAGTTGTGGCGAGGACACTGCGCACGCCAACTTGTCAAGAGAAAGGAAAAAGAAAGACGGTTTTTAATCGGAATGTACGAACCCAGTTGGAGATCCAAAGAAGAATTCGAAACTTTAGAACGGAATTTGCATAAACGTCGGGATATACGAGATCAAAGAATAAAAGAGTATATTGAAGCTAATTTGAACGAGAGAGCTCGAGTGTTTAGAGTGGTTGGCCCGGGGTTAATGGAGGACATTGGTGACGAAATTAGAGAATGGTTTTGGCAGTGGTACACCCAGGTAAAAAATTTTGACAACTATCCACCTGAAGAAAAAGGTGGTACGGTTTTGGTGGTTCGTGGGGAGACGATGACTCCTAAGGAATGGATAGACGACGTGGAAAGGAAAAGGAAAGAAAAGCGGAAAAACAAGGGTAGAGATAAAGAGAAACTTAAAGCTGAAAAGGAGAAACAGAAAAAATTGAAAGCGGACCAAAAAAAGAAGGAAAAGGAAAAGAAGAAGAAAGAGATGTTGAGGAAGAAGAATAAAAAGCTTAAGCCTTGGGACTTTGAATTGGAGTATGAACCCACTATAGCTAGAGATCCGTTTCTAAAAGCCTTTGAAGAGTATCACGAATTTTTTGACGAAAGAAAAGATGCAGATAACCCCGAAGAAAAAACTTACATGGACATAATTCATGAAGAAAAGTGCTACGAAATGCAGTTGGAGCTAAGAAAGATAGTCGATGATATGATGAGGCATGTTCTTTAGACACTATATTGTTTAGATTTGTTATTCTAGTTACTTTCATTTTCAGACTTGAGTTAGAACAGTTAGAAGAGGCTCTATTAAAGGATCGAGCTAAGGTAAAAGGGAAAAAGTACAAAAAGAAGAAGAAGAAAAAAAAGAAGAAACCGAAAAGTAAGAAGAAAAAAAACAAAGACATGACTGCCAACAGGACCACTGAAGATTTGTTTCAAGAATTAGTTAATAACGGAATAATTCACCCATACGAAAAACACTACCTAACGGAATTCAAAGGAGATTTTAGCTATAATAATTGTGAGAAGCGTAACCAGGGTTTTGACCCTCCGGCTACTTTAGGTGATGTTCGACAAGCTGTGAAGCTAAATTGCATAGCACCTTTGAGTACCGAAGCTATGAAGAAACCCAGGTCAGTACTGTTAGCTGGGCCAAGACAAAGTGGAAAGCATCTCCTTGCTAACGCCGTCTTCACTGAAAGTCAGAGTGTGTTGTTCGATTTATCACCGGAAATTTTAGCTGGAAAATACCCTGGAAAGAAAGTTAGTTCTTATCTTTAGGTGCAATATTATTAATACTTCTTTGTTTTTTTTTCAGGGCATGAAAATGTTGATCCATTTAATCAATAAAATGTCCCGTGTCCTGCAGCCATCTGTTATTTTTCTGGATGGAGCGGAAAAAGTTTTTTATAAAAAAGTGCCAAAAGCTGAAAAGCAGTTAGATCCAAAACGAATTGGCAAAAAACTCCAGAAGGGAATTATCAAGACTATAAAGCCTGAAGATAGGGTGTTAGTTTTTGGAATAACTGGCGCTCCGTGGTTAGGAAAACCAGGAAAAATGAAAAAAGTTTTCGAAAGGGTTAGATGCCAGTTTTGGTGATTCTAGTTACCGTCTAGTTACTTTTAGATTATTCTGATGCCTCGTCCGGACTACGGAAGTGTGCTCTTATTTTGGAGGGACTTACTCATGCCTTACCATGGTGTCGATCGCAATATCGACTTAAGTTGTTTAACAAAACTCACCGTATATTATCCTCTTCCGGTATTACAAGAAGTCGTTAAAAAAGTTCTCTGCCCTGCGAGATTAATCCAGCTAAGCTATAATCCTTTAAAACAATCAGAGCTATATGAAGCGCTACTTAAGATAGATCCAATAACCGACAAAGAATACAAGAAGTTTTTGAAATTCTACAAAAATACACCTTTGGTGAAAGAGCGAGCTAGACTGAATAAGTACAATGAGAAAATCCGAGAGCAGGAAGCCAAAGCTAAAGAGAAACAACAAGCAAAAAAAGCACGTTAGTGCTCGTGTTGTATTGTCTTGTCTGGCAGATGGTGCATGTGGATTGTGCAATGTAATAAAAATGTTAATAATAATTCTAATTTTCCCAGATGTTTCCATATTTTTACCGAAAGTCATTCTACAATCGTCACTAATTCCGATAGCAGAATTAATAAGATAATAACAAACTTTAGAACCAATACAAAACACGAGAGATAAATTTGAAGATAACGTCGTATAATTTTTGTAATAGCTAACCGGTCGTCTAGGGTTAGAAAAACTCCAAAAAAGATTCGTCTCGTTTTTAATGTTTCGTTCATATTATGCAAATTTGGACATTTTGCAGAGAATTATTCATGCCCCATCATTGTGATGACAGCATCCTCAACTTAACCTGGCAAAATATTCATATTCTACCTGTCTTAAACAAGTCGCCAAAAAACTCCTTCGCCCTTGAAAGATAATCTTTGAAGCTATCGATAACGCATGTACAAAATTTTCTAAACAAAACTTCTTTAAGTTTAGCCTAAACAAGCATAAACGACAAGAACAAGAAGCCAAACCAAGCCATGACAACAAGACCGAACCACACGAAAGTGAATCTGTTACTGTCTTGAGTTCCACTCATTCTGTATTAGTTTAGTCCTGCATTCTACAGTGTTATCGATTGACTAGGGGCCTTTGTAATGAGCACTAAGAAATTCCGAACAAGGGAAATCAATCAGAAGCGCATGTGATGCGAATCGGCGGCTGCAGTTCAGTTTGCAAACAAGCCTCCGGCCCCAATAACAATCCGGAGTTCTCCCTAACTTTCATTTCGTTGGCGGCTTTGTGCAAGTTCCGGGTTAGAAGTGGAAGAATGCGATCGCCCTGTATACAGATGAAGGTGACGGAGGCTTAAAGGATGGATTAGAGCAGATAATTTCCTATGTTCGGGGTCTCTTAAGATCCGAAATTCTTCCGAGTAGTATCTGAGGGTTTACATCAACATTATAAAGCAGGAATATTGCCGGAGGCACTTATCTAAACCCTACATTACCCCTTTATCGGAATATTTATCAAGTCTAACCCCAACTCGGATACAAAGCGGTGTAAACTCCAATGCGGACCAAATTATTTTGTTGATGGCAGGCGTTTATCTATGTATATGAGAGTGGCCGCTAATTTGCATGTGTTCGCATACGAAGCAGGGTAATGGAAAAATTTTTGCTTTATTTTAACTAATTAGCGAACTGTGGTATGTACATAATAATAGCACTAAAATATGGAGATAAGGTTGGAAAATATGCAAGAAAGTATGTTATTTTCTACACAATTAGATTTACTTCTGGAAGTTGAAAGTATAATTATTACAATATTTTAATGCATTGGAAAAAAATTAATTTAACCGACAATTTAATTTAGACAATTTTTAATTTTCACAGCTCACCACTTTAAAATTTTAAACGATTATTATCATATTTAAACCATTCATACCCTCTAAAATATTGATGGCGCCATTTTAAAATTTTGTGACGTAAATATCTCAACCAAAATATGCAGTAGACTTTGCTTGTTTACTGTGAGTTAATAATCCGGCCTTGTTTAACTTTACGCAATGTGTAGGTTTTTCGAAAAAAAATCGGGGTGGGGTTGACTGAATGAAACATCTAAGCAGCAAAAATGTAAATTTTACTGTTGTTTTTTGAAATTTTAAAGCAGTAAATAAACCGTTCTATGTATTTAATGCAGCGATAAACAAACAAAAAAAAAATGAAAATTTGCGGTTATAAAGATGGGAATATTTTTTTACGCCGATATGTGTAGAGCCCTAAGGGCGGGAGGTTTGAGGCATAAACTAATTAATCTTCACTCATTAAATCTAGTACAAAAATTGTGGTAAAAATTATTATACAACAATTGATTTTTTGTTAATGTTTAAATGGAAATTGAACGATTGTTGCAGTTCTTTTAGAAAATGAATTATTAAATTTAAATCTGGAACCTAGAAGACAATAAATAGTTTTAAAGCCAACTTAAATCATTTTGTTACAATTGATTTCAATGTTTAAATAGACTTGCAAAGTTACATACTATTTCAGAAAAATTAAAACTGTAATGGACACTGTATGGACCATAAAGATTTTCTTATTGGAGACTAATTAGACAAATTTATTTATTTTTTAATTAGAAAATTCACATATACTAGAAATTAACTTAAAGGTATGTAACAACGCCTCAGTGGAAGCGTAAAAGCAGTCTTTTAAAATAAAAGATTGAATAAAGTCAAGGCCTGTAATTTCTTATTTTTTAAGATTAATATTAATATTCAAATAGATGGTAATTAGTTTTATTATATAACACAAATAATAATAAAAAAGTAGGTACACCTATTTGTCTAAAAATAAATGTTGTAGTCATTTCTTGTGAAACCTAAAGTTCTGCATGAATTTTATTATGTTCTCGTATTTGAGGGCTTGATTTTTGCTTTTCGCGCATTAAGCTAAGTAAGTATTGTAATAGGGGCCATCTAAATGTCTCATACTTTTTCGAATATGAAAAAGCAGGTCTTCCGTTTCCATCTATCTATCGTTTGTTGTCGATTTTACTAGACTAGATATATAAATTAATATAATAAATTTTTCGTTCATCCTTTCCAGAGAGTTGATGGCGTCATCACAATAAATCTTATTTAAAATATACAAAATAATATGCGTCTGTGTCTTTGGAGATTTTTAATTTTATGCCCAGCTGTTTGTAAAACAAATATAAAATACTACAACAAAAAGGACTGTTAGAGCCTCTGGCGGGGACCTGTTTCACCCCTCCCCACCCGTAAGGGTGGGAGCCAGCGCCACCCCCACCTTGGAACACAGGGTAGGATTCATTCTTAATTCTTAACTCATTCATACACATTCAATTCTCAATTCTCAATTCGTAACTAACAGTCATCTCTCTCGACCGCACGGTCATATACTATTCTATTCTTATCATTCTTATTTATCTAACACTTGTTACTAGCAATATACATTTATCTTACTGTTCGCTGGTCTTATTCATTTATACAAACTTCGACAAGGACGATAAATCAAAACATTTATTCAATAAATTTCAAGTGATCATCAATGTTTGTGATTTTTTTTGTCACGTTGGCAACATATTTAAAATTTTGTGATGACACGTACCTGATTGTCAAAGTGACATTTCTGACACCGAGGCATTAGCTGCTATTGTTTCAACTAATCAACACGTTTGTTAGGCGTACTCATGTCAAAATTGACAATTGTAAACTGACGTACTAGCATGGCTACCAATAAATCAGAATTGCCATCCTAAAAATTTGCTCCAATCATTAATACTGTTTATTCAAAATTCCCTAGATAATGTTGTCGGTTGAGTTTTCGTACTATGTTGCCGGTTGAGAGGTCTTTTAATTTTTGAACAGATAATAGTCACTGGGTATTTGTTATAAAATCTAAGTAGGTATGCTTTAGAGCCCATATGAGGTATGTGTATTTTAACGATATATTTTTGTTTTTTAGGGTTACTTATACAGGTGAGTAAGAAATTAATTAACAAATTGCTTTAGTAACTCCAAAAGAAGCGCCTAAGGTAAAAAAATCAAGTACGGATTCATAAACCGCAAGTAGGTATAGAAGTATGTTATTTTATAAAATTTTAATTGTATTTAATTATTTATTGTGTAAACTTTTGAGATGATGTCATCAAGTCGCTGGTGCAGTTGAACAGAAAAATTTTGGTAAGCGTTTTACCATCATTCACACTATATACCTATCTATGCATACAAAATTTCATAACAATCAGTCCAGTAGTTTTGGAGATTATATGTCTAATAAAATCGAGACAGGCGACAGACAGACAGAAACGGAAGACCTATTTTATCATATTCTAGGGGTCATAAAACGTCGAAAAAACATTAAAAAAGCCGTTCGCCTGATCGATTCTTATAACAATATTTCCCCAGTTTGGACTCGGGCAAAAATCAACGGAAAATACACAAGACTTCTACCCTCAGAAGTTGAAAGTTTTTTAAAACCACCAAATGGGGAGGAACAAGTTGAAAGGCCGAAATTTTAGTTCAGTTAAAAGTGTCGGTATAAAATTTGGATTCGGACACCGATGCTTTGGTGTACCACGGTTATTGGTGCGTCTGAAATTTCCAGATGGTCCCATTCACACTTGCCCATGTATAGTTTACGAAATATCGTTGTACCCTATACAATTTTATTGACAGTAGCGAGACGGACAGTAGTACAATAGCAAGAGATATTTTTTACAACTTAAAGTTGTCGCGTGGCGGTAATCCCCAGATGTTTGAAATCAGAATAACCCAGGTCCGGACAGAGACCATCGTTACTCACGAACAAAAATGACCATTATTTTATGAGTCCAGCTACCTGCTAAACGTTCTCCGACAAATTCGGGTGGACTGGTGTGGGCCATAAATATTTTTTACCATTGTACTACTGTCCGCCTCGTTATTGTCAATAAAATTTTATAAGGTACAACGATATTTCGTAAACTATAATAAAGTAATTTGGAAGAATCTCGTGGGTCTTTTTGTGCATTATTTTTGAAGCAATTTGAAAGAATCTCGAGGATAATAATTGATGGTATCGTGTTTTTGACGTAATTTGAAAGAATTTCGGGAATCCTTTGTGTTTTATTTTTTAACTATTTTTAAATAATCTTGGGAACCCTTGTGAACCTTGTTTTTGAAGTAATTTGGAAGAATCTCGAGGACCCATATGGTGTTTTGTTTTTGAAGTAGTTTGAAAGAATCTCGGGGACCACTCCTGTTTTTTTTTAAGTAGTTTGAGAGAATCTCGGGGACTCATTCTGTCTGGTTTTTGTAGTAGTTTGAAAGAATCCCGAGGACCCCTTCCGTTTTGTTTTTGAAGTAGTTTGAAGGAATCTCGGAGATCACTTATTGCATTGTTTTTGAAGTAATTTGAAGTAATCTGGGGAATCCCTTATTGTCTGAATTTCGTGGACCCCTTGCGTTTTGTTTATGAAGTAGTTTGAAAGAATCTTGGGGATCACTTGTGTTTTGCTTTTGAATTATGTAGGGATTTTGAAAGAATTTCGGGGACCACTTGTTTTTTTTTTTA